CCAAAAGAGAGTTTTCAGTCTTCTTATACATATATGCTTCTACTTTTCTGATATACTTTAATCTATCTACACATATCCCTTTTGTCACCAAAATATATTGAGAACAATTTTCCCTGTCTTAAAAGTTTTTCTGTCATAGAGGCCAATAGGAGAAGGGGACCAGGAACTACAGAAAAGGTCAGTTCGAGAAGAATCAACTTAGAATGTAACACATATGTACATGAAAGGAATGCGAGGAATCTCCCTGTATAGCTATCCTCATCTCAACTAGCAAAAACCCTTGGTCCTTCTTATTATTGTTTATACTCTCTCTTTAACAAAATTAGAGATAAGGGCAAAACAGTTTCTGCCTGGAAGCGAAGGGGTGGGGGGAGAGGAAGGGGGCGGAGGGAAAAGGAGGGGGTGGGGGGAAGTGGGGAGAAATGACCCAAACATTGTATGCACATATGAATAAAAGATATATATTTTTAAAAATACTTAAAAAATAAAAAATTAAAAATAAATAAATTGTGCTGTCAATTAGAAAAAAAGTTTTTCTGTCATATTTGGTAGTGACTGCCCATAGTCATCTCATGAGTTTGCCCCAATTAATGTGACCTTCAACTCAATCTTGGAGTTTAGATACAGCTTTCTAATACACAGGAATCATCACTGAGGACATATCCAGTTCAGACGAAACACTATTGTCATGAAGCAGATGGGGCTTCTGTTGGGTCTACAAATCCTATACATACTGACCTGACATAATTTTATGGTACCTGTATGAGCTACAATATCCATAAATTAAGACCATTCTTAAGATGTCTGTCTTTTAAATTCATCATTTAGGAAATATTTCTCACTTGTTTCTTCTGCCATCTGCCATCCATAACCCAGTGCACTTGTAACAAAGAACGGAAAATTCCCAGGCAATGAGGAGGTGGGAACTAGGAGAAGGGCTGCTAAGATTACCTAAAACCTGAGTTCTGATCTCTTTTATATCAGGAGATGACAGACTATATGAAGACACTGAAGCCATAGCAAAATGTTGGTAAAGGAAGTCAGCAATGATGTTATACCTTAGAAAAGCAATGGTAGCCAAAATTCAGAAATAAAAGAGAAAGGAGTAGGGACAGGGAAGGGAAATGGAAAAGAAAGGCAAAAATCCTTAGCAGTCCTATAGAAGTACTTACTTTCATTTAAGATCTGCTTACTTTCTTCTTAGATCTTAATTGTTAAGTTTCCTTCAAAGACCTGATACTGAGATGAGATTTTACAAAATGCACCTTTATGCAAAACTCCTACACACACAAAAAAAAGATCCTCCCACACACTCAGCAGGTCTAGCACTAAAGAATTATACACATCAAATTTGCTAGGAAAAGTGAGTGATAATTTTCAAACTGACCTGAATCCCAGAAGTTCTGGAGTCAAACTTTCATAGCAAATAGGATGATTTGGCCTGACAGTTACACACACTTCTTGCCAGGGAGAAATGAAAATCAGTGACAGAAAGGCCATAATAACTTTAGAAAATGAAAAACCATGAGAGCCAGAGTTTATTTTTTAACTCCTTAAATAGAAGTAGTTTTCTATGCTGAAATGAGACTTTGAAATTATGGTGACTCAGACATAGACTAGCACTTTCCAACAACACTTATGAATGCTACAATTAATCCAGTAATTCATTTTATTGATAATGTACAATTAAGATGCTAAATGATCTGAACATATTACTTCTCTTACTTTAAGTGCTTTACACATTATAATTAAGCAAAGCAAAGTTAAAATCATACACATAATTAAGGAAAACAGTGTTAAAATAAATGAAATAAAGTTGTCCTCTGTACTCAGTTTAATCTCCATGAAAAGACTATTACACACTGTTAAAGATGGTAAGGCTTCCAAACACTTACCCCATAACCATATTAACAGAGCCTGAAATTGGTATTTAATTTCTTTGACTTGGAGCACAATTAGTTCTTTTCTTTGGTGAGTGCTTTTCACAAAGAAAAATCTTCTCTTCCAAGTACGATATTTAAGTATCAGAACTGTTGTGTTTATAAAACCATACAGAACAGCACTGAATTTAGAATCCACAAAGAACCATTCAACATTTAGTTGTTCAGCAATATACATTTTTCTTGGAAGATTTTTTTTGACCATCCGGGAAACTTCATTTTGAACATTTGAGAATAATACAGTCTTAGGTCTACTGGCGTGTAGTAGGCACTAATTGGATATTTCTTGAATTCTTTCATCAAGAAGTGATTTCCACCAAGAGTATTTTAAAATTTAAGATATTGAAGAAAAAAAATCCCCCAAATCTTACTCTAATGAGCATACTGATGATCATTCATGAAAACACTTTTCACTTTCTTGGGAAACATTAATACGAATTGAATAACCATTGTTTTCACACATATACTAGATGCTTTAAGTGCACACCCATATACACATATGGATAAAGGAATTATTTAACTTGACAAGTTTACACAGTTAGGAGGATGCAAAGCTCAGACTCAAATCTAGACCAGTCTGATCCCGAAGTCTATATTCTCTCTACAATTTTTTACTGCCTCCTAGATATAGACCCTAAATTTAAGCCAATTCAAGTAACTTTTCCAAAATACTAAGCTTTTATTATTAAGGTGTGACTTTATAGCCATGGTGACCATTATTCCATAGAGAAATTGTGATATGTAACCTATTGAATGATTTTAATTCTAGTATTAGATTAAAATGAATTTGCATGCCAGTGGTTAGAATTTGGGATGAAATGTCAGGGAAAAATAGACTTGAATTGGGGTTGCCCTGAAGTATTCAACATGTGTTGACACATTTACAGTAACATATCTATTTTGATGCTAAGAAAGATTTAACATAGCTCCGTGGACATTGAGATCTGGATAAAGGACATTTTGATAGAAATAACAGAAAACCTTTAAACTTTTGGTGTTTTTTTAAACAAAAATCATTGGAAAAGGTGATTTTGTCCAACCACTGTGATTCTTATCTCATTGCCAATCTTATCTCAGGATGGGAATCAGAGTTGACCTGTCCATAAATATCAGTACCCCTGGCTCTTTTCTTTCTTTCAATTTCACAACCCTAGGTAAATCCAATTCTTCTTGAGTCATCTGTTTTCTGCAAAAGCCTTCTGGCTCTACTCTGTTAATGATGGTGGAGAGAAAAATTCTGCCATGTCTTCTCTGCCTTGAGCTTCCAGGTATTCCCCAAAGTAAACAATTCCTACAAGTGAGGTCCATCCTTTCACTCTGCTTCTCTCTATAGGAAACACACATCCCCATCCCCATGGACTCCCAAATTCTGATGAACAAAGACTTGCATCTCATTAAACTCTGGTGGTAGTTTTCAGAATGAGAAGGCCCAGTGAAAAGTGGGATATTTATCAATGCCATCTGACTGACATACGTCACTGAAACTGGAATCTATATATATGTACCATGCTTTTTCTTTTCATTATGGCAATGAGTTTATGCAGAATATCTGTGTTTCTTAAATTTTTTGGTATCTCCCTTCAAGTGACCACAGAGATGGGATAGAGATAAGGATTAGAGCCATACTCATCTCAGCTTCAGATTGGTCAGAGAATCCTCACTTACATGTCTAACAACCCCCTTAATATTTCAAGGTAACATACATGTACCATATTTAGTATTCTATAATAACCATTTATTTACTTATTTTTGTATCCCTGGGAATGTAATCCATGGCCTTGCACATGATAGGCAAGCACTCCAGTAAGCAGCTGTATCTCCAGTCCTAAAACTAATTTTGAAGGATTAATTTAGGGAGGTGAGACTAAAATTCCCACAAAGGCTTATGAGTTATAATAGGCTTATTTTAAAATTTATTTGCTATTACAATAAAAAATAATTATCGAAGCTAAAATTCATAGCTTTTCTATCACACTGTTGAAATTATTGTTTCATTAAACTATATGTAACCATCAATAGAGTTCATAATAAGTTTATATTAGCCAGAATGGCAGTTAGTAGACTAAGTGTGAGTCAAAGGGACCCATGTTGTATATTATTATTTTAAGATCTATTTTTACTATAATCAAGCCACATGAAAAGAAAATGACTGCTTCAGAATGTACCTTGTACCAAAATAGCTATATCAACATGGCTACATAAGCATTCTTTGCTCTGATCTAAGATATATAGGCTATAGATTTGTACTTAAAGAGGACCCCTCCAACTCTTAGGCATATATCCAAAAGACTTTAAATCCAATATACAAGAGAGATATCTGCATGCCCATGTTTATTGTAGTTGTGTTCACAATAGCTAATCTATCATAAGCTCTTCAGCTGAGGTGGCCAACATTCAATGAATACATAAAGAAAATATTATATGTATGCTTATTATAGATACATATACATGCATATTATAATCATATAATATGATATACATACATATGATATATATTTATATGATATGTATCATATAATATGATACACATACATATATATGATACATATGCACTTATGGAATATATACCATGGAATATTACTCAGCCCTAAAGAAAAATGAAATTATGTAACTTGCAGGAAAATGGATAGAACTGGAGACTGGCATGTTTAGTGAGATAAGTTAAGCTCAAAAAGCCCAGTTTTCATTCATTTGTGTAACCTAGACCTAAAATGGTCATGATTGTGATTGTGGCTGTAACAATGATCTTGACAGTGGGACATGAATATAAAAGGGGAATGGTCTGGGAAGTCAGTGGGTGGGAGAAAGGGGAAAGAAAAGGATACTGAGGGGTAATGATCATTGAAGTGTGCTACTTAAATCTGTTTGAAGACAGCATGATGAAATCCATCACACTGTTTGGAAAAGGGAGGGGGAGGGAGGTAAATGGGAAAGTTTACTCACTATACATATGTGTGGAATATCATGATGGAACTCCTTCATATTATCAGTGTGTGCTAATTCAGAAGAGAGGGCCCTCCATTCATCTCTCATCATTATACGCCGTGTTGCTCTCTCCAGCCTTGATGCATGCCTTGGTGTTTGGAAATGTGACAGCAATCATACAGAGGATGTACTCCAGATGGTCCCTCTATCACACCAGGACTAAGGATCTCAAGGACTTCATTCGTGTTCATCACCTGCCCCAGCAGCTCAAGCAGAGGATGCTCGAATATTTCCAAACAACCTGGTCAGTCAACAACGGAATAGATTCAAATGAGGTAACGTTCATTTCTCATGTTGACATTTTCAGGCAGAAAACACATATTCTAAGGTACAATCAAGATGCTCTAATTCAGGGATCAGAAGTAAATTGCACAACTACCGACTTCTTTATCTCCTTATTGTTTAATCACTCATGAAACCCAAACCATCTTCTTTTATCTGCTCTGGCTTATATTTTCACAATGCCACTTTAGATTGACCGGTATTTACTACTTAGGTAATTTTCATTGTCCCTTTTTGAAGCAACTAATTCTTATGACAGTGTATTGATGCAATCTTGGATAATTACATTAATCAACCTAAAGTTGCCATTAGAATCAATAAAGTAAAAAAAAAAAAATTCCAACAAAGATTTTTTTTGTAGACTTCTAGAAATACCACAGACCACCACTGTGAAAAAGGTATTACATAAGTCAACCAACCATTCCACCAACCCACCAACCAAAACAGTAACCAATGTTTTAAGAGTGGCAACTTGACTTCTCCTCTCTTTGAATGATCATGAGTCCAGAGGAATTACCAAGGGGTCCAAATTTCATATCTTCTGTCCTGAATAGGAGTCTTAAGAGAAGCCAATCATAATGAGTTGTTTACTTTCCTTCCAAGATGCTTTACTGTTTTCTGTTTCCTAAGATTTTTTTTATCAACTGATTTAGTAACACATAATTAAGGCTGTGGTCACTAAAAATTCACTCTGGGACCCTGCATTTGTAGATTTCTTCTTCTGTAGTCGGCTTGACCAAACAGTCAGAAGAGCATCCTTGTTGTCTTGCAAAATAATGAATTAGATTACACTTACACCAATTTGATTTCCTCTGACAGCTTTTGAAAGACTTTCCAGACGAGCTGCGTTCTGACATCACTATGCATTTGAACAAGGAGATATTACAGTTGTCCCTATTTGAATGTGCCAGCCGAGGCTGCCTCAGGTCTCTGTCTCTACACATCAAAACCTCTTTCTGTGCTCCTGGGGAGTATCTGCTGCGTCAAGGGGATGCTTTGCAGGCCATCTACTTTGTATGTTCAGGTTCCATGGAAGTTCTCAAGGACAGCATGGTGCTGGCAATTCTTGGTAGGTTTCAGTTGAAAAGTATCTCTGAAATTTTAGGAGTATGAATTAAAATGAGATATGAAATTGGGAAAAAACCAGATAGTGAGTGTAGGAAACTTACAGATGAATATATGGACTCAGGATTATTCTTTGTGTGGGTTTAATTTACTTAAATGGTATATCTAATGTATCATTTGATTCTTCTAAAAAATCCAGTGGTAGAAATATTATCCTCATTTAATAAATGAATAAATAATACCTCAGTTAACTTGCCAAAATCACATAGTAAGAAAATGAACTCAGTTTTTTCTTACTCCTAAAACCAAATTATTAATCACAATATATACTGCCTCCTGGTGAAATAGCTACTCAGTCTTAAGAGAATATATCTGTATTTTTATGAAGAATCAATTCAGAGAACACAAAAACTGAAGTTTTATTTGCACATGAAATAGAATAAAAATGATTATACTTCAAGAAAAAATCCTTATTAGAGTCATTAACCTAGCACTGTCTAGGTGATTATAGGCCCTCAAAGAAAACTTATAATTGTTGAATTTTGGGGGCCACAAAGTAAACTGTAAATATTTAGATGTAATTATTCTTCATTAGTATATAGATGACTGACAAAAGATAGCAAGTAATGTTAATGTAGAAAAAATTCCTATCTCAATACTATGTGAGTTTCTTTTTTAAAAATCCATTATTTGTTGGTTTATTTAACTAATACTTATAAAGGGCCTATGAGTGAATGAGGTATGGGTCTGGACACTGAGAATGTGGAAGAAAAGAAAATGGCTAAAATCTTTGCCTTTATGACAATTCAACTCAAGTGAAGGACATGATGGGATCAAGGTGGTAGCAGAGATGGTAAGCAGCAGGTACATTCAGGATATATTTTAAGCACCAATATAATACACCAATTTTAGATTTTAGTTTTTTTCAGTTCTAGAGATGCAACATAGGGTCTCACCCACGCTAAACAAGCACTCTACCACTGAACTACATCTCTAACCTGCTTTTTATTTTTATTTTGAAATATGACCTTGCTGAATTACCCAGACTGATCTTGAACTTGCAATCCTCCTGCTTCTGACTTCCAAGTACTGGGAGTATAGGTATATGTCACCATAAACGGCTCAATGTTTAGAACTTGTGTTAATTGAAAGGGGCTAATGCAGTACTTTGTGCTTATCTTAATTTTCTAAGAATTTAATACATGTAAGCAACTACCTGCAAAGTATTTTCACATATAGGATCTCATTTAAACCTTCACAGCACAAAAAGATAGACTGCAGAGGTCGTGAGGACCTGTTTTCTCAAAGCCAAAGCTAGCCTGAATCTAGACTGTAAGTCCACAGTCTCCACCTTGTCTAAACATTGCTCACATAAACATTGTCAGACTGCTCACTGGATTCTCACTAGTGAGCTCAAGAAAGATTATATTTTTTAAAGAGATAACTAATATTTATTGAATCCCTAATGTGAATTAGGTACATTATTCAATTTAAATCTTGCAACCACACTCGGTTGGTATATGTAACTCAATAAATGTTTGGGTCTCCCCCTCACCAAGTTCATTTGTTCACACCTAATCATCAATATGATGGAATTGGGCTGGGTGGGGGGGGAGCTTTGTGACTAGGATTATAAAAGAGGCCCCAGATTGCTGCCAGGCCCTTTCTACCATGTGAGGACACAATGAAAAAGCACTATAGTAGAGTCAGAAAATGAGCGCTTAGACAGATACTCAATCTGCTGAAGACTTCACCTTGGACTTCCCAGGCTCTAGAACTGGTACAATAGTGTCACAGTATTTCATTATAGAAGCCCAAACAAGCTGAGACAGTGTGATTATCACAAATAAAGAGGAACAGATGGAGCTAGTGAATGTGCAGGACACGTGCTTTTCATTGCTTCCTGTTAATGACAGTTTACCACTTTTATAAGATAGGACCTGCCTTCGACTCACTTCCCATGCTTTATTCTTTAATATAAAGAATGTAATATAAATTAAAACAATTCATTATCAACATTACAGTGAGGCTCCCCGTGTGTGTGTGCTTTCTTAAGAAGAGAATTTAGCACTCTCCCTACCCTCTTCTCCGTTTTTCAAAGTTAAGGGTCAGTCATCCCATCATTCTGAGACTGAGGTAGAATTAGCAAATATTTTTAAGTTCTTTCAAAACCTTAACTTTAATCATAAGATTAAAGTTAATACCATGGTAACTTTTATACCTGCCTATTGATACGACCTATTTTTGAGGGAGCATCTGGCCATTTCTTCAGAACCCATGATATGATATACATGTAGGCAAAAATAATGCACCATTTAAAACTGGACGTGGACTTCTTAATTTTGGTGCATTTTTAAATTTGGTAGCTAGCACCAGTTTTAGAGATAAAATATGAAAGCATCCTCCCTGACATTACAGCAAAGGATTCAAATTTCATGCCTTCAATGTGACTGTCATCACTTGTAAAGCATGAGTCACTTAGGTTTTCTTTCTATTAAAAATTGACTTAGAAAGATTTAATCCACTGTTACTTGCTCTTGTCCCCACATTTCTCCATAAATTGTAATTCCATGATTAATGTTTTGACCTCTCTTCTTCTACCATATACATATCAAAAGTGACAAGTATAAATTGCAACTTGACCATTCTAAACACTGGTTTGTGGTGTTGGAACTAAACCCAGATAATGATAACATATTATTGATATTTTCTCTTTAGGACTAACATTATTTCAGTGAAGATTGGTTATTTTGCTTTCTTTATGGTATTATTATCTTATAGGGCCAATTTAAATCCATACTGACTGATAAAACTTATGTACACTGCTTCACATTGGATCCGTAAGTATTTAAATACTCATCTAAATTTATAAAAATAATCAAAGGTAAGGCCCAGGAATGATGCCATGTGTGGATAAGCAAAGACTCAGAAATTCCTAATTTTTAGTCATCAATGAAACTAATGGCAGTGCCCTCTGTGAACTCAGTTACATTACATCATCTTTTAATTTAAGTTTATCTAAGAATTGAATGGGTTTCCTTCCATATTTTTCACATGTTTGATGGATGAATTAATGGCTATGTCTAAAATAAGTCCAAAGGTGAAATCTGCATTTCAATAGCACTTATAATTATGCCCATTTTCCTGTTAATTTAAGCTGATGAAATAAATTTAAAGATTTTAAAAATTCAAGAAAATTGTCCAATATTACCTCATCAACAAACACGAGCAAGTTCATTCCTTGACAGATGAGTTCCAGCCTAAGACTTGTAGGCAGAAATATTACAAACAAAAACAACCAGGGGTATGAATTAGACACAGGCCACTTTAATAAAGTAGTGTTAGATCTCTCTCCCTGTGGTGGCACAAGTGAAGAACTCATAGTATTTATTTATTCACTTTCTATTTTGATGGAGAAAGGGGGTTTGTACATTGTCACAGACCATTAGAACAGTGAGCTGTGTTTTGTATGTTATATAGTAGATTCATGGTCTGTAATGTTCAACAATTATCCCTTCCTCCCGACTCTGAGAAGAGGGATGGAGATTTCCTCCTTCCATATTACCCTCTGGTCTTATAGACATGATCAGAAACAATGTTTGAAGATGGGGACTAGAGTGCCAGATGCTGCTAAACAACAACAAAAAATTATTGAGCCCTAAATCTCAATACTACTAAAGTTGGAAAGCTGCCTGAGATAAAGATTCTTCTCCTTTCAGTGTAACCTGAGAGAAATGAAACCTTAAGTCTGCTTTTCTTTCAATTGATTTTTTCTGTTTCTAGGGAAAGGGGATTTAATTGGAGCAAACCTGTCAATTAAGGACCAAGTGATCAAAACCAATGCAGATGTGAAGGCTTTAACCTACTGTGATCTCCAGTGCATCATCCTCAAAGGACTCTTTGAAGTGCTAGACCTTTACCCAGAATATGCTCACAAATTCGTGGAGGACATTCAGCATGACCTCACGTACAACCTTCGAGAAGGTCATGAGAGTGACGTAAGTCTCATTTCAATTAGTGCCAAACCCTAACAACAAAGATCTGGAGCTCTTCTATAACAGTGTAGGCACTTTTAAATGCCCCAAGTATAGGATATGACTGTTCAGACACTAAGTGAGTGGCAAAATTTCCAGAACCCAAACCGAGTATTTGTTACCAACACTGTGGGAAAATATTATTTACAAGTGACTTCTCTTAAGTCAGTTTCACTACTGTGTATACTTAATTTCAATTTTATCGATATATCTCATTTAGCTAGCTATATGTGATTTCTCCAAAATTTGAAGATTTCCCAACAATGTATATAATTCAGAGTTTCCCATGTTTGTAATTGTTCAGTACTCCAGTTGCTTGACATGAATTTTGCTTAAAAGTAATTCTTTTGTTAAAACGGTACCCAAAACAATCCATCTTAAAATGACTAAATACACATAAAAGGATTCAAGCTCAAGATTGTCATGCTGAAAGCTTGATGAACATTTTATGCAATTATATATTTGCTTCATGTTTCAGTTTATACAGCTTTCCTGTCAAAATATGTACAATACTGCATCTTTGTGATTAATTTGATTGTGAACATGACTTCACTGATGTGTCAGAGACAATCTAACAGGAATGATTGTTGAAAGGCAAGCTGCAGCATGTCTAGCATTCTGTAACAACCAATGCCTGTCCCAGATATTTTAGGGGTTTAAGAAACTATGGTTTTGGCTAACTCACATTAGGCAGACATTTTTAGTAGTCATTCTTCACACTGAAAGGTATGAAGAAAATGCAAATTCTCTCAACTTGGTTGGTGATATAAAGTAGCGGTAGATACACTGATGATATTCTGTTCTGAAGTCCATGACTCCTACTTTTGCATAGGCTTCCTTCCATCCTTAGCAAACAACAGTGGTATCAACATTTGTTGGCTACGTATTATGTGTTAAGTACATATACTGCTTAAAACAAACTTTCAGGTAAGTGTTGATGTATTTCTGTGGAAGAAAAAGCTGAGATTCAGAATGATATATGGTCACAAATGTGTATGTGGCTGAGACAGTTTGAGCATAGACACCAGGCTTAAAATCTATATGCTTTCTTCTTGAAATCACTTTCATGTATTTCAATCAGTAGACCGAACTTTAAAACTAAATGTGTTTTTTGTACTGTCCATGACTGCATAAAATGACTAGTTTTGAAGACTGAAGTAAGAAGGTAGAAGTATCAAAAAAGGGAAAAGAAATGGCGATATAAAAGTAGTCAATTTTCCCAGCAAGGAAAAATTAAAAATGCTGGATCTCACCTTTTCTTATCTTCTTGTTTGACTCTTACACTCTGCCTTACATCTTACATCCTTGCCTTTATTATTATTTTTTATAGCGTACAACATTATGTTTTGAAATATTGTTCTGTTTTGTTTATGAAATATCCCCCGCAGGCTTATGTTTCAAATGCTTGGTCTCCAGCTGGTGGTGCTATTTTGGGAGGTTGTGGAAACTCTAGCAGGAGGAAGTAAGTCCTAGGGCCACGCCTGTGAAGGTCATAACCAGATCCGCAATCCCCTCTGCTTTCTCTACTTCTTGACCACCACACACCCCTCCCACTATGATGTTCTGCTCACACACATGGGGCCAAATAACCACGGATCGAACTCTCTGAAATCATGAAACAAAATATATCTTTCCTCCTAAGTTGTTTATGTCAGGTATTTTCTCACAGCCACACAAAAGTAACTAATACAGAAAATTGGCACCAGGAGTGTGATCATTGTTGTGACTAAACCTGACCATGTGGACCATAAGCCTTTAGAACTGGCTTGCGGGGGGATGTTGGAAAAGTTTGAAGATGTGGGCTACGGAAACCTTAGAATGCTATAAGCAAAAATAAACAGGTGATTCTGCTGGGAACTCAGATGACCAGAATTCGAATAGGAATGTGGACAGTGAAGGACAGGCTAACGGGATTTCAGCTAGGAAGGAGAACTCCATGGGGAATTGGACTAAAGACCATCCCTAATGTATTTTGGGAAAGAATTTATCTACATTTTGTCCATGTCCTAAGACTTGGAATAAAAAGTAATAAAATAATTAATTTAGCAGAGGAAATTCAATGTTCAAGAGATCATAGTATTCAAGTTATGGCATGTTTATTACTGGCTACTTATAACCAGATTTATAGTGAAAATCTGTAGCAAAGGCAGAGCAGAAAGGTTTGAAAAATATGCAGTTGGCCAGAAAAGGATCGTATTTCTTTCAGCTGCAGACAAATAAGGTGTAGTTGTTAAAGAAATTAACACCAGTAAAATGAATCCAAGCACTGGTCCACTAGGGATAATGATATAAAAGCATCTCAGGAATTGGACAGCCCCCACCCACATTTGTAAAATACAGCTTATATGAAAGCCTTTCCCTTCAGAAAAGAGAACTTCCAGGCACCCTGCTTGCACAGGACCTAGGGAATTCTTTTCACAGGTTCAGTTGTTTAAGCACTCAGCAGCTGCTGAAGCTGTGGTTCAAATGGGCCCAACTACTACTCAAGCTGGTGGAGGACCTTGGCTGTGTAATGCTGGTTTTTCAGGCACACGCAATGCAAGAGTTGCAGGGCCATGGAGTCTTCTCCCCAGATTTCAAAAGAAGGCCTAATAGGCTCAACAATGTGTATCAGGGTTTGATTTCCTGCAAGGAGCCTCTGAGAGGGCAATGTGTGAAACTGTGAGGGTAAAGCCCAAGACAAAATGAAGACCCCAAGATGTTAGAAATGCCCAGAAAAGCCACAGGAAATTAGTGAAGCCAGACCATGGAGAGGCTTTGTGGGCTACAGCTGGCAAGGCAGAGGCCCAGAGCTGCCCAGTGAACTCACCTTGTGACACCATGCGTTCCAGATGCCAGACATGGAGCTATAGGATCTAATATTTTCCCTGCTGGGTTTTGGTCTTGCTTTGGTCCCATTCCTCCCTTTTGGAATGGGAATGATTATTCTGTGCCATTGTATCTTGGGACTATGTAATTTGGTTTGGTTTTGCAGAGGCTCATAGCTTAGAGTTTGCCTTGAGTCTCAGAAGAGATATTGGACTTCCACTTTTGAACAATGTTGAAACTTCTATGACCTTGGCAACTCTTGGAAATGGATCAAATGCATTTTCCATCATGAGATAGACATGAACCTTTGGAGGCCAGAGGTGGAATGTTATGGTTTTAGTATGAAATATCCCCCATAGGTTCCTGCTTTGAATGCTTGGTATGCAGCCAGTGGTGCTATTTGGGAAGGTTGTGTAAATTGTTGGGGGTAAAACCTAGCTGTAAGAAGTAAGCAAACATGGCCATGCCTGTGAAAGTTTTACCAGATGCACAGTCCCCTTTGCTCTCTCTGCTTCCTGTCTGCCAAGAAGTGAAAAACAACCTCTACCATGCACTCTCACTTCCATGATATTATGGTCAACTACAGACTTAACCCTCTGAAACCATGAGTCAAAATAAATTCTTCCTCCATTATGATGTTTATGTCAAGTATTTTGTCACAGCACACAAAAGTAATTAATATATGTATATATGTATATGTTTGTATGTATATACAATAAAATGGCTAAATCAAGCTAAATAACATATATCCTCACTTATCACTTATTTGTGGTGAGAACATTTAAAATATACTCTTATTAATTTGCAAGAATGGGAAAATTGCTGCCCATAATTATTAACAATAGTCACCATACTGTAAAGTAGATATTTTGAACTTAATCTTTCTAAATGTGGTTTTGTCCCCTTTGACCACCATCTCCTTAAATCCTTCCCCTAGCACCCAGAAGCCATCATTCCACTCTCTGCTTCTATGAGATGGCCTTTCTTCAGAGTAAGCATATCAGATCATGGAGGATGTATTTTTCTGTGCCTGGCTTATTTCACTAGGTGTATGTCCTCCTGGTTCATCCTTGTTGTCACAAATAACAGGATTTCCTTCTTTTTAAAGGATGAGTAGTATTCCAGTGTGTATATACGCTATGTTTACTTTATCCATTCATCCATTGATGGCCACTGAGGTTGACTCTATATCTTGGCTATTATGAATAATGCTGCAATGAACATGAAAGTATAAGTATCTCAGATAGATATTGCTTTCCATTCATTTGGATATATAACCAGTAGGGGAATTTCTGTATCATATAATTCTGTTTTTATTCTGTGAGGAACTACCACTCTGTATTCCGTAGCAGTTATACTAATTTACATTACTACCAACAGTGTGCAATTGTTCACTTTCTTACATCCTCAATCACTAATACTTATCTTTCCTCTTTTTGATAATAGCCATTCTAATAGGTATAGAATACCTCATTTGTGGTTTTATTTTGCTTTACCCCATTATTACCATTGTATAATGGTAATAATTGTATACTTTTGTATGTCTTAAGAAGTATCTATACAGGTTCTTTGTACACTTTTTAATCAAGCTTTTTTTTCTTGTCAATGAATTGTCTGAATTCCTTTTGTGTTTTGAATATTAACCTCTATTGAATATATGGCTTACAAGTAATATACAGTTTGTCTCTTCACTCTGTTGATTGTTTCCTTTGCTGTACAGAGCTTTTCAGTTTAAAGTAATCTAATTTCTTTTCTTACTTTTGTTGTTTGTGGTTTTGAAGTCATGCCCCACCCCCAATAAAATCACTGCCCAGAATAACATCATGGAGCATTTCGCCTATATTTTCATCCACAATTTTATAGTTTCCAGTCTTACATTTTAAGTCTTTACGTATTTTGAGTTCATTTTTTATATGGTGCAACATAAAGGTCAAATTTCATTCTTCTGCATGTGGATAAGGAATCTTTACCTTTGGTAAGATTTTATTCTTTTCTCTATCTGCTTGAATATTAATCAAAGTAATTTTAAAAATCCATGTATGTGTAACTTTGGTAATTGAATCATCTTGTATAACTATTTCTATTCTCTCTTCATTCTTCCTTTATTCTCTCCTCTCTTCTCTTTTCTTTTCTTCTTTTGTCTTCTTTTCCCTCTC